CCCCCCCCCCCCCCCTTTTTTTTTTTTTAAATAAAATAGGCTTTCTTTCATTCTCTCGTCTTTGATGCTTTCTCACAGATCCCTCACGAGGTGGGACATTACAAGTAGCTACTCAGGGCCCTCAGGTTTTCTTTTTAACTGGCATTCTACTCCACAGGCACACCAGGGGGGATAATCTGCGAGTCACTTGTTGAGTGCCTGTATGTGCTAGGCCCTGCACAAAGTACTTTACACATTCTAGGATTTAATCATCATTAATGACTCCAGGTAGGTGGGCACTTAAATAACTTGTCCAAGGCCACTTGAATAAGTGGCAAAGCAAGGATTTAAACCCATTTCATTTGATTCCAAAGCCTAGGACACCTTTCATTAAACTGTACTAGAAAATCTGTACATGTTGTTTAAGTAGAAAGGTAGAAATTTGGCCAAGTATCCACAGGTAATCTCCATCAGTGTTTCTTTTATTTAAGGCTGTCGAAGCAGTGGGAGTGGAGAAGGAACAAAGAAATCTGTAACTGGTTGCAATCTCAGTTGTAAATACCACTGCACTCGGATCCCCCAAATAAGTGTTTCTTAACCTTGCCTGCATAGTAGAGTCACCCGGGGAGTTTCTAAAACACACTGATACCTTGATTCCATCCCTCAAGATTCTGATTTAATTGAACTTTTTTTAAGGCACCTTTTCTTAAATTCCCCAAGTGATTCCAGCTTGCAACCTACAGTAGATGCCATAATAAGCAAGTAGAACATTTGTATAGCAGAGTGGTTCCAAAATGTTAGCCTTTATCAGAATCACCTCGGGGCTTATTAAAACACTTTCTGATCCAGTAGATCTGGGGTGGGACCTAAGAATTGGCATTTCTGATTCCCAGGTTTTACTGATACTGCTGGTCCAGTACCACACTTTGAAAGTCATTACATTTTAAGCTAAGCATCCAGATGGAGAACCTGAGGTACAGAAGTGACATATTCAATGTCACCTAGTCAAGGGAGAGCTGGGACTTGAAGCCGGTGTGTGACTCCTAGCCAGTGTTAATTCTGTGCAGCTGCAGGAGTGAGGGAGAGGGTGGCTTGTCCATTCCTCCACGTGCATGGTAAGAACAGCTAACCTGGTGCTGCACTCTGCTTATTAGGGGCATCTGAAAATGGGATGTCACTGACCACATTCTCCAAACTCAAGCCAAACATTGATTTAGCCCAATCTGCCTCTAAAATTAGGACCAAACCTTTTAATTCTGGGGGTGGAAAAAAAGGCTAATTTCCAAAGGACTCACACAGAAAAGATGTACACAAAGCTTTTGGAGTTTTATTTTTTTCCTCAGGTTGGAGATTCTTCGTAACATGCATGCATTTTAAAACAGT